AATTTCTTCCCAAGCAGATAATTCTAGAAAAAACAAGTAGGATTCAATTGTCTATAATAGATTCTTGATGCAAAACTGAAGTATATCACAGAAAAGACTGCATTTGAGGAGTTGACTCTGATGTGACATCACTCACTCATAAGACAGAAGCAACAGTCCTTGTCCACCTGTTAACTGATAAAAGAGAGATTCAATGAAGTCACACAGTCAGAGCTGTTTATCAAAATGATGTTCAAAACTCTACCATGGCTGTGAAAACAATCACTTGTTTAAAATTATTCATAACAATTTTGACTGTTGAACATACGTGCTACCTAGTCAAGAGCTATAGAGATTTAATGATACCTTTCAAATGACTGAAGCTGAACTTGAGAGATAAGCTTAACATGTAGAAATGGGGTGGGTGGAAAGTGAGACTGAACCAGTCTCAATGAAGCCAAAATAAGATTTAAAATTGCGTTCTGTAAAACAACAAGCTCTTGTGTATTAGGAGAAAAATTAAAAAACAATCATCCCATGAGGTATAAAAAGCAATAAAGCATGCAAAGGAAGCACAGTCAAACTTGACACTCAAAGAGAAAAGTGAAGTCCTGTGTGTTTGTATGCCCTGTCTACACGCAGTGTAACACTGTTTCTTTATATGTACATGCTGGTTAGTTCATGTCAACCTGGCACAAGTGAAAGGCATCTACAAACAGGCAAATAGGGAGGCCAGTTGAAGAATTTCCTTCATTAGATTGGCCTGGTGGCCAGCCTTTGGTGTGTATTCTTGTTTAATGACTGACATAGGATGATGCCGTCCATTTTGGGTGGTGCTACCTCTGTGCTAGTGGCCATGGGCTGAGTAAGAAAACAACCTGAACGAGCTTTGAAAAGCAAGTGGTAAACAGTATTCTTTCATGATCTCTGCTCCAGTTCCTGCCTCCAGGTTCCTGCCCAGACTTCTTCTCATGATGGGCATGATGGGCTATAAACTCTAAGAGGAAATAAACCATTTCCTCCCCAAGTTGCTTTTGATCTTGGTATTTATCACAGTGGCAAAAATCATCTTAGGGCATTATACAAAGTCTGAGTAAATACATATTTATTATATGAACTCCTCACATTGCTGTTTTTGAGAAAAAAAGGTATTTAGATATTAAGTAGCTTGATTCAGGCAGTACAAGTAGGAAGTATTATATAAGCCGTAGTCACATCACAGCCTTGGTTTCAAAAGCTATGTTTTCATTTGGATCTGCAATGTCCATTAAAGGACCTACAGCTTGTGGTGACAGGGGTGTTAGAGAGTCTGTGGGAGATAAGTCTTCAAGGGTTTATACTGGGAACATGTCCTATAAGGGAATTAGCTCTAGCGGGCACACACACTCTCTCCCTCTCCTTACCCGCCCCGATATAAAGGCTCAACATCTATATGAATGTACACAATAAACACTTGAGTTCTGACATATGGGAAACCACCTACATGAAAAGTGTATCATATTAATGTGAGTGCATATTTATTTTACTTGAAGTGTTTTTAATATAATGGTATTTAAAGAGATTTTTGTTGATTCAATCTTCAAAGTGGCTTCCTTAAACTACAAAAGGCTCAGTGACAAAAAACAAGTAACTCAGTTTTTAAAGAGGGTCGATGATCCGAATGGACATTTCTCAGTAGATAAAACACAAATATCCAGTAAGTACATGAAATGAAGTCCAGTGTCACAAATCATCATAAGAATGTAAGCCCAAAGCAAAAGAAGCTACCATTTCTCTATGTCAGAATACTTACTATTAAATAGGTCAAAAGATAAAAATTTGTGGTAAGTCTCAGAAGAACGAAAACTCTTAAGATGCTGGTAGGAATGTAAACAAGTGCATCCCTAAGGTAGAGCAATATCTAAGGAATTTCACTAAACTAAAAACAGAATACTGTAAAGACTCATATCAGGCAGTTTTAGAATAGGAAACACTGTCAAAATATCAAAGCAGTATGTTTGTTAAACTGACTACTAATAACACATCATTACACCCATAGATGAATGCACATGTCAGCCCTCTTCAGAGAAGCCACTTTTTGCAGAGACGAAATGTATAGCGTGACTAGAATTCTAGACCCTAAATGGGACCTCTTTATCTCACTCCTTCTCCCCAAGGTTCAGAGGTCATTGTGGAAGAAGGCACAGAATGTAGAATGTCTTGGAGAGCAAGAGGTGATAAGTGACAACAATGGCAGAGTGTTTTCCAGATGAGTAAGCCACTTGTACCTATGTGCTCACAGTACACAGTGTTTGTGACAGTATGCACAAGACCAGAACAAGCTTTAGCCAGACAAATTCCACAATGGGGGTGGGTGGTCTTGAAGCCCCATCCCTAGCTGAGGAGCTATTGGCAATTTGTAGCTGCTAGGAGAAGGATGGTCTGTTGTCTTTAAGGTTGTGGTCTATGACTAATCATGCACACTACAGTGAAATGCCATACACTTAAGACTATAAGGAGAGTATATGTTAGGAAAAAGAGAGGACACAAAGTTGGGCTCCCGAGGAAGTGGGGTGGACCTGGAAGCACTAGGGAGTGGAATGAATAGGGTCAAAACACAAAATTTTCAAAATGAGAAATAACATCAGAGAGGTACCCATACTCTTCTGGCAGCATTGTTTACAATAGGCAATGCCAGAGTCAATCATAATCATTTTTTATTAGAGAACAGATAGATAAATAAAATGTAGGACACAAAAAACAGGATGTTAATCAGCCATGAAATGGATTCATCCCACTTATGGCAATACGATCAAACCATGGATTTCTGCTGAGTGCAATGAGCTGGACACAGAGAGATCTTCAGTGCCCTGTTCTATCTTATGTTCAGAGGTTAAACACTAGTCTGAAAGCTGAGCACCAAGGACCGGAGGTCATCTCAGGAGGCCAGAAACAAGCAGGGGGCAACTGAGATGTGTAAGAGCAGTAATTAAGGAGGTCATGAATTTGCAAGGGAGTGGATGGCACAGGAGGAATGAGAAGGGGAAGAGAGATAGAGTGGACATGATGCAAATACAATAAGCATGTATGAAATTCTCAAAAACAAAAACCCTAAATTTAAAATTAAAAAGGATAGCAGGGGGGCTGGGGAAGATTAATAATGGGAAATGTGTGTATTTCTTTTCTGATTCTCTATTGAAGTCATGCCAGAAACCAGATATGAGATATTTTTCTCTTTAGTTATAACCACATATATGGTTACATATAATATATACTTTAAAATTCAAAGTTGCCATATATTAGATCATGTGAGTGTGACTGGAGCTTATAATCACACCCACCCACCCACCCACCCACACACACACACCTTACACACCTGCATACACACATAGTATATATATATATATATATATATATATATATATATATATACATATATATATATACATATACACACACACACACACACACAGAGAGAGAGAGAGAGAAAGAGAGAGAGAGAGAGAGAAGAACATGAAGAGAAGTCTTTGAAGGTTCTAAACACAAAGAAATGATAAAGGGATGTAGGTAGTAATTACCTTGATCTGATCAGTACACATTCTAACATGTCTTAAAATATCATGTTGCATTCTATCAACATGTACAAGTGTGATATCAACAAAGATAAAAAAAAAAGTCCCAAACAATAACAAGATGCCAGGCATCAGATTATCCTACTAGAAATACAAATTCAGATCCTCCCAAGATAGAACCAATTTAAAATCCTGTCTTAGAGAAGAGGCATCAAAGTTTAGCAAGCTTTTCTGGAGATTTCTACATACCTGGAAGTGTGGAAGTGTCAGAGTACAGCTATAGTCATATAACCCTAGAATTTTGTGAAATGATGAGAAATATATATGTAGGTATGTATATATGTCTAGGCTGGCCCAAATTGACTCTGTAGATACATCTGAGGGACTGAATCACAGAGCACTGCACTATTAAGCGCAGGCTTCCCTATGCACAATCTCGTTACAGTTAGTGACTGTCTTCTGATACCTTAACCACTGTTTAAGGTTAATATCACTAATGCATAGAAGAAAAATTACAAAATTATGTCCCCATTCTCAAGAGACTTTTCTTTCCATAAAACTTATAGAAATTGTGTTTCTTCAGTATTTTGGTGAATATTGGCAACATTTTTATTGACCAAGATGTAGAAACTATAATGTTCCCAAATTTGGGCAATTTTGTTCCTATGATATATGAGAATTGGAACATTGTTTAGAGTGACACTAAAGTGAGTAAAGACTTTCATGTGTGTATTTTTTTTGAGTTTGGATCATAAATTGCACTCATTATCCAAGTAGCACCAATCAGAATCTCTCCCCCATCCCAAATTACCAATTCACCAATCATTCTGTAAAACATTATATTTTAAAGGAGGCAAAAAGGAAGAGACAAAATGAAAACAGCAAAATGGAAAATACAATGCTTCAGTCTGAAACAAATCCCCCAAAGTGCAACTTGTCATTGCAGAACTAATACTTTATGTAAATAAAGTAGCTATAGATAGGACTGATGCCCAAATCTTGTAGGCACTTTCAGACAGATAGTGTCATGGTGAACAGGATGAGGGCAAAGAAGTACTAATTTGTTTCAATCATATCAAATTGTTAGTTCAAGATGAAATAATCTTATCAATGCTTTTGAAGAGTAATATTGTGATTTGTCAAAGAAAATTTATTTACAATGTTGTATAAAAAATAGATTTGGGTTGACAAAATTTAAGTGGTGTTTGAAGTAGAATTTCATTGGAATTAGAAACTATTGTTAGAAGGGTTATTTTATTTAAGGCAGAGTCATCTTAATTAGCAGAAAGGAGATATGGTAGCAGCTTTGAAGTGCTTATAAAAGCAATTATAGAACATGCATTGTTTCTGTACTTCAGCCCTATAAATAAATAAGCTCAAAAAAGGGTCCTTTAATAAAACCAATAGTAACTGACGATACACCTTTAAGAGCTAGATGAATGCATTATCAACAATGTAAAGAGCAATTACCTTTACAAATGCGACAATCTTCAAGGAGATTGTTGCCAAATACAAGGAGTTCATCACAAAGTCCATTAGATTCCACCAGTCATGGATGTAATCCTGAAGTCCACCGTCCCACATCTGCTTAATTTCTCCCCATATAAAACCTGCAATTATAGAGAAGTTCACTATAAGTGTGACTTTCAATCAAATCACTACTTAAAGAGATATTCAATGAAGTTACCACAGATATTGCAGCCACGAGGGACTGTGTGACTCTGTTAGACACATTAACTCTTTTATAGATAGTGATGAGTTTCAAACAACTTTTTAGATAGAGGACACTGAGCTAACTCTAGGAGATTTTCTAGCTCATTATTTAACTTAGTAATTTGGTACATTATATTGTAAAATTGTGATGTTTGGGGCTGAAGATATGGACCAGAAGTTAGGAGTTCCTACGGCTCTTGGAAAAGGATCCACCTGGGGGCTCACAACAATCTTTTTTCTCCATGATTTTCTTTATTGTTTAAGATTTTAATATAATTATGTCATTTCTCTCTTCCCCTTTCTCTACCAAAACCTTCCATATACTCCTCATTGCTCTTTCAAATTCATAACCTCCTTATCATTAATTATTGTTACATGAATATATACATATTCATAAGCATAGACTGCTCAACCTCCATAATGTGTTTTCAGGGCTAACTATTTGGTATTGGACAACCAACAGGTGTGCTCTTCCCTGGGGAAGACTATTTCTCCCATGACTGTAATTGTTTGTGTAGGGTCTCATGCTTTTCCCTGTCTACCATAACAATCAGTGTCGTCTTTGTTAGCTCATTTGTATACCCACAGATATGTTTACTTCTCATCCCTCATCAAGGAAACTTCTCTTTGAAACAGATGGAGACCATTACAGAAAGCCACAACCAATCAAAATGCAGAGTTGTGGATCACAGTCCCAACAAATATATCTACAAAACACCCAACACATAAGGCTCAGAGAACATTGCAGAAAGGTTGTAAAGCCCAGTGGATTAAGGAATTTGATGTGAGACTGTGTCTCCTGGTAATCAGAAGCTACATATATAAAATCTCACAAATATTTTTCTCCAGTTCCAGTGGCATTTATTCTCCTCTTCTGGCCTCTGGGGGCATTGCAGGCACATAGTGAACTTAAACACATGCAGACAAAATGCCCATCCACAAGGTAAAAATAATAGTAATGAAAGTCTTTAAAAAAGCTTACATTTTCAGTTTCTCTATAACTACATATTTATTTCATAGAAATGTCAAAGAATGTTCTTTTAAGCATGGTTTGGACTATATTTTTCTACTAAGTCAAATGACTTTAAAAATTGATGGAAAATAGTTCATCTGGAAAGACAAAATGAACGAATACATTGCTTTAGTCAGGTGATCAAGGTATCTTTCTGTAATTGTATAGGCAATTGGTGCTTTGAGTGGTCTACTTTCAGTCCTGGAGAAGGGATACTTACAACATTCATGGCAAGTACCATAAGCATACCATACTAAACAATAGCTTAAGTGTCACATTCAGGGTCAATATAAATTATGTGTCTTTTCTAATAGAAAGATTTAATTATGTAATTCTCTGAATTACTTATGAAGTATTTGTATAGGTACATATTTTATTTCCATAATCTTATTAAAATAATAACTACTTTAGAGCCTAATGAGAGCTTTCAAATGATCTATCACTATGAAATATTAAAGAAATAAGTTTATCTATTATAAATGCATTTATCAAAATAAATGAGACTCCTGTATAATAATGATAGACAGAAATGCCACATGTAAAATATCAAGTTTGATAGCTGCTGAGAATATAGGAAGTTGAAAAGATCGTAATTGATTTTTATTAAATGCAAGAAAAGGTCAGATTAAATCTAAATACTGTAACTTGTCATATCTTCACACAAAATTTAAGAAATAAAGAGGTGTCATGTTCATAGAAAAGCATGCCACTCTTCTAGTCCCCTACGAAGGACAAGAACAAGGGTCAGGGAGGTGGCTTAGTAGGTAAAAGCTCTTGCCTTGCAAGCCTAATGACCTGGGTTCTATCCCTGTAATCCATGTAAATTCTGTGATAGAGTACAATGTGCTTGTAATTCCAGGGACCCCATGGAAAGATGAGAATCAGAGATCAATTCTTCAGAAGATCACAGGCCTGCTTTTCTGGAGTATGAAGCCCAGTGGTAGTAAATAGCAAGAGAGGCCTTTCCTCAAAAATAAGGTAGAAGGCAGAAACTGACACCTTCTGTTTGCTCTCCTCCACATTCCCCACTCCTACTCAAGAGGGAGATTATACTGTGAGCCAAGAAGTGCAAGGGTCACTTGTGTGGAAAAGGTACAGACACAATCCAGGTATTTTTACTAAAGGAGCAAAATGCTTAACTTGAGGAAGACATAAGACAGTGCTGGGTGTCAGGTTAATAATGACACACAGTGTAGTGAATGCTATCACTGGCCAGAGACCAGGAAACTACCTCATCTGCAAAGTCTGAGCACCATAGTGTGATGGGCATTGTCACAGACCTCTCCATCCCTAGAGCTTATGCAGAGGCCCCATTGTGACTGTGAACTAAAAAGACAGGGTCCTTCCTTCTGCCCCCAGCACCAGCATTGGCATCCTAGTTAGATTACTCTCTGAGATTTTCTTCATGAATAGATCCCTTAGGGTTTCACATAGGGTTGGGACCATTTCTGACACCTCTGAAGAAAAGAGAAACACAGAACTGAAAAGGATACAATGCACACACTGGATTTCAGAGTGGGAAACACTTGATACACATGGCAACACTTTCCTTTTTCATACTGAAGGTATTTCTTCCTGATACTCTGGGAAGATTCTTGGGATCCAGTCCGTGTGGAAAACCACAGCACTAGGAGGCTGTGTCACTACTGCTGGCCTACTAATTAACGGGGACACTAGGATCTGAATCTGCAAATGCAATGGACAGGACAACAATATCTTTCAATATCCATTACTCATGTTGTTGTGTGTAAAAATTTGCCAATTCTCAGAGATTGGAAGATATGCATATGAAAGCATTGATTGGCAGGTGTGTTTCCAGTTAGCCTTCAGTAGAACACATATGTCAGTCAGATGAGGGAGGTGTCAAGCTGCACTGTAGGAATCAGCTTCCCAGCAATAGCCATCTTAAAGAGATATTGGGATTATATGACTTGATTAAAAGATTAACAAGCATTGTTAATTATATTGCTTGCAATATCGCAATGCTTGACTATCAAAATTTCTGACATGAGATTAAGGTCTGTCATCTACAAGTAGACAAAGACTTGACTGTCCTGCCCCAGAATGCATAAATCAGATCTTTGACTGGTAAAGTATGAAAGACAGCTTCCTGGAAAGTGTGAAGAATTCTGTGGCAAGAGTGTTTCTCTAAACTTAATGGGTAGGTATTCTAACCTAGAGTCTAGGATGTATTTCACTGTGTATCCTCAGCAACAATTTTGGCAAGGCATGGAAACTCATTTTGTGCATCTCTCTAGAGATCAGCCATAGTTCATCCTTTCTTCATGTGCTTACGATCAGAATCAGTCATCTCAAGGCCAGATGAAGGCATTAGATCCCTTTTAACTGGATGGAGTAACAGATGACTGTGTGCCACCCTGTGGGTTTTGGGAACTGAACCTGGGTCCTCTAGAGTTATCTCTCCAGCCCTGAAATATTTTTCTTTTTCAACCATCAGGTTGGAGCATTGTTTCACTATGTCATCCCACACCTGTTTGATGGCCATTGGTTTTTAGTCTGCTGTAATCATGCTAGTGAAATGACAAAAATTTATCTCTTCTGGCAACAGTCAGCACGTTTTTGAACAAACAAGCCATTAGAAAAATGAGAGGGTGCTAGTACAAACTGAGCCACGTCTAGCAAGCGAACTATTCACAGGAACTGTAAACAAAACAGGAGAGAACAAAGCTTCAGGAAGCTTCTGTCACAGAGTGTTTGTCCTGTCCCCATGATGGAACACTTCAACATCTTGCTCTCTGTTTAGAAACAGATGACATGATTTCTCAGAGCTGTGCTAAGAAGCCTTATTACAGGCCTGAAGTCAAGAGTATGGATCCAGGATGAAGAAAGAGCATCCACAGAGAGTGAGTATGAGAAAACAAGTTCCTTTTAGAATACTCTGGAGTCCTGCCCTGGACTTTTTTCTTTCCCATGGCATTTTTACTGGGGACACTTGAGAGCTCTGCAAGCTCTAGGGTGTAGCTGTGTTACTGGGAGGGATCTTCTCTATCTTGCCCTCTCTTGCTGTGGATCCATACACAGGTAGAAAACAACAGCTGCTGGGCTTGGTCCTCTACAGCCCCTTTAGTGAAGACAGATTTGGTGAGACACCAAATCAACAAAGACAAAACAACACAAAGAATTCCTCACTAATGGAATTTTCCATTGCTTTTCAAGTCAGGGACTAGAAATGTGTCTCTAGGCACAGATGTCTGTCTCTGTGAAAAATAATTATATTACTAAAAGTTATTTTACATACCAGTGAGTCCTATCATACCAAACCCCCAAGAGACACTGTTAAGGGCAGCTTATGTATGTATGTATATTCTGTTTTTCGAGATAGGGTTTCTCTGTAGTGTTTTGTTTGGAGACTGTCCTAGAACTTGCTCAGTAGGCCAGGCTGGCCTCAAACTCACAGAGATTCACCTGCTTCTGCCTCCCTATGCTTGGATTAAAGGCATTCGCCACCAATGCCCGGCTCAAAATTTATTTAATTTATTGCATTGGTACTTCACCTTGGGTGTTGTGTCCACTGGAACTGGAATTATAGACAGTTGTGAACTGCCATGTGGGTGCTGGGAAATGAACTCAGGTCCTCTAAAAGAGCAGTTAGTGCTCTTAAATACTGAGCCATCTCTCCAGTCCCCTCAGAATATATTTAAAAGGAAGTGAAAGACAAAAACTTATGCAATCTACTTTTTGAAGACAGCTTGTAGAAAACTCTAGATAATCTCTTTTTGGTAGCTTATTAAAGGATCTGAGGACACTTTCTGCTATTCCCACACTTGCCCCCTCAATTTCCATAGTTTACAAAGAGAAAACACTGGAAAGGGGGTGGTAAAAAGCCACATTGTATTGACAGTGAATTATTGTGCAATAAGGGAA